ACATTCTGGTGTTGTTTCTAGCCTAATCTTTATTGCCCTGCTTACAGAAACTGCCTTTCCAGTTAACTCTTATTACATTGTTACAGCTAAGGCGAAATGCCCATCAACGTGAGTAACGTTGAGTTGGCCACACCCACCCAGTCACATGACCACTGAGCCACGCCCACCCAGCTGGTCATTAGGGCAGAGAACCAGTTGCTAAATTATTTGAATCCCACCACTGATTAGATTATACAATCAATCATGGTCTACAAACCCATAGCCGCTTACACATTTAGCTAATGCTTCGGCTTATGCAGACCAGCCAAAACAATCAAAAGCATTTCTCCGATAGACTTCTATGAGTCTTTCACTAGGAAAACCCAAAGTTCCAATTCTCCCGCGTCGGAGAAGTCTGACAGTGTGGGATCCTTGGTACTCTCTGAGCTCCGTGGTTTGCTTGCAGACGTTGCATTACCAAACTAGGTAACGCCATCAGTGTTTAAGGATTGACTACCCCAACACAGTGTTCTTCATCCCTCCCAGAATTCCCAGCTCTAGAGCCCTTTGAGTGTTCAGTGAAGAGTCTCTCATGTCTGCCCTGCCTAGATTGCTGAGCTGTGCCATTGTCTCCCTAGAACAATAACCCAGACAATCCCAACTGCGAGGGCATCGAAGGAGTATTGGAATCCTACTTCCAAAGCCTACGGACCGTGCAGCTCTACGGACCCACCAACTTTGCACCTGTCATCAACCAGGTGGCCTGGTGAGCAGGGAGGAGACGAGGAAGTGTTCGGAGCCAAACCTTCTGAAGTTAACTCAAATATTCTTTTAATTAGGAGTGCCGGCAGCTCCGGCAAAAAGTTTCTTTCTCACCGCAGGCTAACAAGCCAGCTGGCTGGAAGATAAATAGTTGTCTACTATTGATCTCCGCCCTCTGCCTTTTATCCCCAGAGCTAGGGTGGGGCTTCGCTAGCAGTAGTGTCTCTTCCGTCCCAAGGACCAGCCCATAGATTTCCACTGCTCTCCTCTCCTTTGCCTCTATGCATCCAAATGTCAGGCATTGGACCCAACTGTTGTTCTTCTTCCTCATCATCCACCTCCAGACCTGGGAGCTATTGACTCTCCACCTGAGGGCTGACAGATGGCCCAGGCTCAGCCTCTGTCTGCCAACTCCCTCTTCCCCCTCGGAGCTCTCAGATTTCCTTGATGCTGATGCTGATGCTCCCACGCCTCTTCCTCCTCCTTTGATTGGGCTGCTGGAGGGACCGGCGGCTGACAGGCCACAACAGAAAGCCACCTGTTGGTCTTCTTGTCTCTCAGAAACCTTGAAGAGTGATTTGGTGTAGTGGTTAAGGCACCAAGCTTGAAAGTGGGAGACTGTGAGTTCAAGTTCTGCCTTAACTATGAAAGCCAGCTGGGTGATCCTTGGGCCCGTCCCTCTCTCACAGCCCAACTCACCCCCAGAGGGGTTGTTATTTGGGGGGAAATAGGAGGAGGAACGTGCGTTGGATGTGTTCAGAAGTGGTATGCTGCCAGTTCGCACCAGTTTGGGTGAACCGGTAGTGGCGGCGGCACGAGGCTCCGCCCATCCACCATGATGTCATCACAGACCTTCTGCGCATGCATGTTTTGACCAGGCGCGCTCCCGCTACCAAACCGGTAGTGAAGAGAATAGCATACCATTACTATATGTGTTTGCCGCCTTGAGTTGTTTGTAAAAATAATGAAGGTGGGATATGAATAAATAAATAAATGAAATGAAAGAATCAAGTAGGCCACTCTCAGCCAAGGCTTCGGGGAGCCAAAATAATCCAGTATGTGTCTCGGGCAACTGCAATCTTCATTGCTTGACCTATTAAGGCAGCGGCCCATGCAAGATATGTGCAGCGGTAAAGAAGGTGAAAGAAAGAGCAAGGAAAGAAGGAAGGAAGGGTGGCCCAGCGGGAAGAGCTTATGCCTTGCCTGCAGGATTACTCAGATCCAACCTGCAAAAGAAGAGGTGGAAGGCGTCCAAATGCAGAGAGCTGATGTCAGGTGGATTGACAGGTATCAAATCTGATTCTGAATAAAGCTTAAGTCAGCTTCCCATTTTCTTAGCTTACTCCCAAGGTAGCGGTTGTAATTTTTTTTGACAAGGGAACAGTGGACAGGACTTTGAAGGAGGCCGTGGGAAGCAAAGTGCTGAAATCAGAATTCTCCGTCACTCTCACTCACTCACTCACTCACTCTCTCTCTCACTCTCTCTCCCTCTTTCCCCTCTCTCCCTCTCTCTCCCCCTCTCCCTCCCTCTCTCTCCCTCCCTCCCTCCCCCCCCTCTCTCTCTGTTTCCCAGTTTGGCTGCCCAGGTCACTGATGGCTCTCAGTATTATGTTCTTCTCATCGTCACCGATGGAGTGATTTCCGACATGCTGCAGACTAAAGAAGCCATTGTCAGTGTGAGTCGGCCTTGGTGTATCTCACTGGGCAATAAGAAATGGAATAAAGTCCAAGGTTTGGGGTATAAAAGCATCATCGCCAGCTCCAAAGCCCTCAATACCCATTAAAATAGTCTGTGTGAGCCACCCCCACACAGAAAAATATCTAAGGGACAGTGTGCTGTCATCAATTGTGTGGATGTGGGTGTGGGTGTGTGGATATCAAGAAAGGTGCCCACAGATGACTTAAAGTACAAGGAGTCCTTGACTTACAACCATTTTCACACTTACGACCATTGCAGCATCTCCATGGCCATGTGATCAAAATGGGGATATTTGGCAAGCGGCTCATATTTATGACGGTTGCAGTGTCCTGGGGTTGGGTGATCTGTTTTTGTGACCTTCTGACAAACAAAGCCAATGGGGAAGCCGGATTCACTTAACAATTGTGTTACTAACGGTGATTCACTTAACAACGGTGGCAAGAAAAGCTGTAAAATGGGGCAAAACTGGTTAACAACTGTCTCGCTTAACTTCAGAAATTTTGGGTTCAGCTTGGTCATAAGTCAAAGACTACCAGCAGAGTCTTCCCCTACCTCGATTTTACCAGCATTTGGCACACGAGAAGGGGGAAGAAGTTCCAAAACTTTGGAAAGCTGTGGTTTATTTCCTGTGCAGTTGAGACAATAAACCTTCTATTCTGCAGGCTTCTTCCTTGCCCATGTCTGTCATCATCGTGGGAGTGGGCCCTGCTGAGTTTGGGGGTAAGTGTCGTTTCTCATTCAGATGAATTGTGAGTCATCAGGGAATTGAGTCTGAGAAATTCAATGAGTGGATTGGATGTTTTGAGGGGAGCGCAGGTTGGCAAGACATCAAGACTGGCATCCCAGTCCTTGGCTGGTTGCATCCATAAGCAAAACCTCATAGAACAATTAATCAGTGGAACAACTCGCCTCCAGAAGTTGTGAATGCTCCAACACTGGAAGTCTTTAAGAAGAGGTTGGACAATTGTCTGTCTGAAACGGTGTAGGGCCGTGATGGCGAACCTATGGCACAGGTGCCCAAAGTGGCACGCGAAGCCATGTCGCGCAGCACACGTGGCCTTACCTGTTTGTCTTCCACGTTTCTGGTGCATATGCGTGCACAATGATCAGCTGTCCTTCACGCATGCAGCAGTGCCGATAACCCGCTAGAACCTGGAAGTTTGGCTTTTCCCAGAGCACAGTCCCAACAAGCACTCATGTGCATACGCGATGTTTCTGCGTGACCATTTTGGCACTCGGTGCCCAAAAGGTTTGCCATCACTGGTATAGGGTTTCCTGCCTAAGCAGGGGGTTAGACTAGAAGACCTCCAAGGTCCCTTCCAACTCTGCTATTCCATTCTACTCTACTCTACACTACTCTACTCTGAACTACTCTACACTCCACTAGTCTAAACTTCTCTACTCTACTCCATTTCACTCCACTCCACTCCACTCCACTCTATTATTCTATCCTATCCTCTGCAAAGCTAGAGCAAAATGCAGAATTAAGGACCTTAAGATTTATTCTCCAGCTGTGTCAAGCAGTGTCAGTATAGTAATAGTTCTCCTAGAAGATGGCAACAAACGTTAAGATCTTGTGTTTGTTGTTTTTTTTGTTATCATCAGCTATGGAAGAGCTGGATGGAGATGAAGTACGGGTCTCCTCCAGGGGCCGTTATGCTGAGAGAGACATTGTACAGGTAACTCTTCTTTGAGAATCTGGCTGGTTAGAATGGGCCAAAGGAAGGTTTCTGTGATGAATTGTCCTGTTCCCGACTTGTTTCTCTTAACAGCGTCAATCTATGCAAGGAGTGAGGTGCTAGGATTTCTAACTGATGATCATCAAGAGTTTTGCAAAAACTATCCCCTAAGAGAGCCTTCCCCATGCTGATCGTGGAGCCTTTTGTTAGGAACAGAGGATGTTCACTCTGATCGACTTCTGCAGGGGAAATTTCCCCCCCAAAAATTGTTTAAAACAGCACATCATTCTGGTGAAATATGGATGGTTTCATAGGGTACCAGAGGGAGTGAAAGCGAAATGAAAGAGGGCAGATATAAACACCCCTATAACAGTGGTTGGGATGCTGCCGGTTTAACAACCAGTTCGGTGAGAAAGCGCTTTGCGCACGCATGCAGCTAAAGCACTTGCGCACAGTGCTGAAAAAGGAGCATTTAGAAGCTCAGCTGCTTTTCTTCCAGGTCGGCAACAGTTAGTAAAACAGCAAGGGGGGTGGGAAATCAGCTGTGCCACACAATTGTGATGAGCTAGAAAGCAGGAAATAAAGGACAGGATAGGGCAGGGGTAGGTAGGCGGAGCCAGCTGATCATCGGAGCTACCGGTTCAGCTGAACTGGTCCAAACTGGCTGAATACCACCTCCAGATTTTCAGCCTCTTTTTTGAGGGAAAAAGGTGCGTCTTATACTCCAAAAATATGGTAATTCAGCAGGATTCATTTATATAAGAAACTTACCCATTGCAGTAAAAGCCAGAATCAGAACTCAGAATCCAGAAGTACAGAATCAATAATCACAGAAGCTATAGAATCACAGAAACACACACACACACACACACATGTATGTGTATATGTATATGTGCCTTCCAGGTCGGCAACAGTTAGTAAAACAGCGAGGCGGGTGGGAAATCAGCTGTGCCACACGATTGTGATGAGCTAGAAAGCAGGAAATAAAGGACAGGATAGGGCAGGGGTAGGTAGGCGGATAAATTACAATATATACATATTTGGATAGAGCAAGATAACTGATTAGTGTGGTGGGATATTGGGAGGGGGGGGGTTTCTATGAGGTAATGGGTATAATTACCAAGACAATGATGTTAAAAAAAGAGAAGGACTGAGATGACATGAGACCAAGTCTTGCAATATTTGAGGGGCTGCCACAAAGAGGAAGCCAATCTATTTTCCAAAGAACCAGAGGGCAGAACAAGAAGCAATGGATGGAAATTAATCAAGAAGAGAAGCAACCTGGAAATAAGAAGAAATTTCCTGACAGCTAGAAGAATCAATCAATGGAAAGACTTGCCTTCAGAAGTTGTGGGTGTTCCACCACTGGAGGTTTTTCAGAAGAAACTGGACAGCCACTTGTCTGAAATGGCATAGGGTCTCCTGCTTGAGCAGGGGGTTGGACTAGAAGATCTCCAAGATCCCTTCCTTCTGTTATTCTGTATTCTTAACTTAATTACTTTTAGCGAGTTATCTTTTATCGGTTTATCTCATAATGGTCTTTCTCCCGGCAGCCTATGCTGGTTCCACCACAAAATCACGGAGGACAAAATCGCGCTCGACGAAAGCGCGCATTTGACGTCATCACA